TCTGGAACACTATCTCCTTAATTTTTTTTTTTTAACTTAAGTTTACCCTTGTGTTCAAGTTGGAATGTATCCATTAGGCTGTATGTGGAAAAGGTTTCAGATTCAGAAATATCAGATCTGACCTCAGAATGCAAAAATTTGTTAGTGTTAAGCTGTTTCTTTTAGGGAAAATATCATTTGCTAGTAGTACATCAAAACCTTCCAGCTCTAAGAGTGGTAAGAGCAAAGAAGAAAACGTCTTTGTCTGCATTGCTAGCTGCCATCTTCCAGTCTGCTTTCCCACAAACAGAAAGTATGTTCTTATCATATCTTTAGACATGTTATCTCTGCCTCTTTCCTCTTTTTATCTCCCTTAGCATACAGTAGACCAGTCATTATCTCAAAACCAGACATTCTGTTCTAACTTTAGGCCTATACATTTCCAACAGTAAAAGAATTGGTATTTCTGGAAGAATAAAGCTCTTACGGTAGTCACTTCATTCACAAGACACTCCTATTCTTCAGAAACAGTCCTCAGTACACACACATAAAACTGATACTTGCACTTTCAAGTACGAAACAAAACACATACACGGGCAGGAAGTTTCATCTGTACCTTCTACTTCATTGCATATTCCTCCCTCAAACTAGCATAGGGATCATATGTTATAACCTTAAGGGGAGGGAAGCTTTCTTTAGAAACTTGCTCACTGCCAAAAAAGTCACTAATGGCTTAAAGTCATGAGTCAGACAATACCAGTGCAGTGAAGGAGCACATATAATAGAGTCTGCATAGCCAGGGCCCTCAAGTCACAGAGGGTAGAGCTACCCTAAAGCAAACACCTATAGCACAAAGGTTGGACCCTCAGCACTAGTTTTCTTTACAAAAATCCTCCTTTGCTTGATGCTAATATGGGTGTAGCCACAGCATATTCTCTCAGCTCATCCAGCTTTTGCTAAATGAAAGACTGACCAAAATCACCACTGGCATCCACAGCTACCCCAACAGCACCTGAAAGTTACCACAGGTCCCCAGGAAGTTACTATGCCATGGTTTTCCCCCACATACCCATACCTCCAGGACACAACCTCTCACCACTGCATCACAGGACAGACACTTGTACTACACCTCAGAAAGCCCCACACTCAGCACCACGCTCCCCAAATCATTCTCCACAAAAGGAAAAGCAGAAATTCATTCTCCCTAGCAATCTTACACTACACTAACCTGAAAACCAAGAGCAAACCTTCCTTACATCCCACTCATTTTCCAGCTGGGGTCTGTAAAACCTCTCCCAGCAAGCCCCTGTTGGGTTGGACTAGATGACCTCTAGAGGTCCCTTCCAACCTTAAGCATTCTGTGATTCTATGATTTTTCTAACGGAAAGTTCAAGATACAAGAACAATTTCCCTTGGAGTAGTCAGAAAGAGAACGGAAATAAGATACCTCAGGTAGATTGTCTGGGCAATTCAGCGTTGTTCTGGAAACCCTCCCACGAGAGGGTGACCTAAAAAGAGGATACCAAATAGATCAGAATAACACCAAGATTTTTGTCAGTTTTACATACTGCTATTTATATACTTCACTAGTGCTAAACATTCAGAAAACTGAAGTTCCTTATGAACAGTACATGTGCCACATTGACTAAGGTCAGTCCTGTTGCAATGCCCATATACCATGCGCAGTGCTTGCCTTAAACCTTTTGGAATTTAGAGCAAATATTTCAATTGACCTATCATTAAAAATGTTGTAATTAGAAGAAGGATGTGACATACTAAACTGGTGACACCTGACTAAACAGGTGACTTGAGTAAAGAAAAGAGCCCTAACTGAAAGGGTAGCAGGAGAGCAATAGAGGTTGCAGCAGGGAAAATGGATTGAAGTGCTAGAATGTTCCTCGGGAGCAGCTGGCATCCAGACAGGTTCAGTTCAAATGCTACAGGCTCAGCTTAGCTGTGCTGTATCAGAATTGCCCGCAATAAAAAATAAAACAAAAACAAATACAAACAGTACATATTTTCTTAGTAGTAAGATCTCATTCAGAAACTGTAGGAGAAAGAAGATTTTTTTCTCCCACAAAAAATTCAGCCCAAAGAAGACAGGAGACACATGTTATTGAGAAATCCCAGGCTGCAGCATAACACAACACTAACGGCTGCTTTATGTCCATGTGTCTTACTTCAAGTTCCTGAAAGACAGATAAAATTTTTTCACTTGGTCACCATATTATTTTTGTGCTAACACAGGCAGCTTTTGTTTCCCAGTGTAGTGGTCAAAGGCTTTCTGTCAAAACTACCTTTGAAAGAAAACTGCTTCTGAAACAATTATTTTATCACAAAGATCTTGCTTTCAATGATTTTTTTCAGCAATCTGAATATTTTGGCTTACACGATTAAAACTGTTTTTTGCTTTTGTGGGGTTTCTATGAACAGAAATGAACAAAACCAGAACAAAACCAAGCTTGCCTGGAAAGTCAATCCATATTGCTGAGTGTGACCGGTGATATCCCAAAGACCAGAGCAATACAAATGATAATGGGTTATTTCTAGAAACCTGTGCCTCACCTGGCGGTCATTAGTTGCCTCTCTTCCCTCCAATTCCTTGCTCATATTGTCTTCATCAGTGCTCTCTCCTCTTTTTGCTCCCAGAGTGGATAGTGCTGTGGTGATTTTACATGGTCTGTGTTCGAACTGGGGCCACACAGGTACATCTGAGGGAAGCTGGAAAAAAAGACAACACACAGTCAGGAGAACCATTAACAGATACAGAACATATAGTGTGTTCTTGTGACGGCAAAATCATTTAGAGGTTTGATTTACATGGATAATTCTAGATTTATAATACTGAGAGAGGGTTTGCCTGCCTGTGCATATGTACTGCAATCTGCCAGAGAAGGAGGTGTGGTGCAATCACAGCAATTCCTTTCAAGCATGACCAGTTACACAGGTCTGAGTTTTTCTACGAAGGTCTAAATATCTCATAATTTGTCAGCCTTTGGTCATTTGCAGGGCATCACAGCAGCCCTTGCCAAGCAGAACAGGTTATGGTGGAGCAATGCAGTAGGAGCCTCCTTGTGCAGCTGCACCAGTGTGCCCTGACTACAGTTGCAGGCTCAAGAATATGAAAGAGAAATGCGATGTCTGTGTCTGTCCTCTTCCAGGGCTGCCAAGGAAGCTGATAAAAAACTGACAGAAGTGGTTGAGCTGGCTAGCAGGTCATGTAGACCTATTACCATTGTACAATAAAATATCCTTTTGCCTTTTTTTTGTGATAAAAAAGTTGTGAAATGGGTAACTGTTGTTCTCCTGAGACAGTTATAATCATAAGCTATGACAGAACTGACCCCAAGTTCTCAGACACTTAATAAACAGAAACAAGAGCTCCTCTCACATCCTAGGTTTCACATTACACAGTTTCAGAGTACACATGTTGTATAATGACTGTTTACACATTTTAAAAAGGGCTAAGTCGTTACTGACATTCATATCAAATACTCACACTTGGGCCTAAAATGCTTTGTGCAGTTTCAATGGCATAACCTCCTATTTCAAAAACAGTAACAAAAATTCAGCCCAAATCCTAGCTCACATACGAAGCAAAACATTCTAAACCCTGTCTAAACCATCCTTTCTTCCCGAAGGACAAGGATGTTTATGCTCTTGCCTAAGGGAAGATAAACAGAGCAGCATACCACTCCATATTTGTAAATGTTAAGTCCTCTTCAAGGTAGTAACTAGCTTCTGTATGCACCAGGCCTCTCTTTCTTCATTGCTCAGAAAGCTATAATATGACATATGGGTATTCATAAATCGAAACAACAAAGATAAATGGCCCCATACAGAAAAACATTTGCCATCTCATTCTTTATTATTCCACATACCACTCATACTCCAAGAAACTTTCCAAAATTGCCTGCAGAAATACCACCGAGGTACAGTTCAGTGGCTCTGTAGAATAGCGGAGTAATTCCCTAAGTCAGTGAGACTACTGCACCTTCAGCCCTGCATATATCAGAAGTAACTCTGCTGGAGACAGTGACGACTGTCATTGGTGCTGTGAAAAGTGGTAGAACTGCATTATTTATATAATAAATTTACATAAAATGTGATGAAGATTAGTAAGGATTATGTACTACCCTTACCAATTGAATATAAGGCCAAAGAACTCCAACAGGTAGAAGATTCTAAGTGAGGAGCCCAAGGACAACCCTTTTATGTGTATGTGTAGTTCTAAAATAGACTCCTGCAAGCATACTGGTTAATATAACATGCTGTTTGCCAAATATGTACTTTAAAAATAGCGGTCAACTGTATGGCATACCTTGAGTGGTGTTAAAGCTGCCTAGAGTTCGTTATACAATGACTATGCTAAGTCACAACATGCTTTCAGTGGAAAAGGCTCTAGAATAGCAAAAATAAAGCCACATAGTTTCTTGAATGAGTACTTAAAGTGTGCCCTTAAACCATAAAAGGCATGTACTAACTTCAATAAACCAAGGCATTCATTTAGATTACTCAATGTGGATTTGGGACCTCTAGCTACTCAGATAGATTCTAGCTTGGCACCTAGCTCTACAGTTGGGAAAGGAAAAATGTCCAGTACACCAGAAATCTGTTTATCTACAGCTCTAACAGCATGCAGGTATGATATTCTGCCCAGAGAAGAATGACTTTACAAATTCTTCTTTTAAAATCTTGGCCTAGGTTACAACTCTGGTAACCTGTGAGAAGAGCAGATGAGATTTTTTTTGCCATTCTGCTAAACTTTGATTGATTGCTGTCCCCAGCTTCCATGCCTCCCTCTTCCAAAAACCTTTCCAGCCTGTATGAAGTCTAGCTTACAAATTCAGTATAGCAGAACTTTTTGTATTTGTTATTACCGATCAGAACAGTATTCTCAACATTTTTGTTTTGTTTTGTGTTACTATGACTTTGGAAATAATCTGTATTGGCCATATTTGCCATTGTTTTCAAATGAACATTAACTGTGCAATTTTGAATTTGTTTTTGACTCACTATAGGTTCGAAACAAGAGCAAGGCTGCTAAGGCTGGACTATGTGAGGGGGATGAGGTGGTGTCTATCAATGGCAAACCCTGCGGAGACTTAACCTATGCTGAAGTTATCGTTCTAATGGAAAGCTTGACTGATGTCCTGCAGATGCTTATCAAGAGGTACAGGAGTGGTCAAAATGCTTTAGTGTAATTCTATTCAGTGAACTGTATGAAAAATGTGGGTGTTGAATGCACTTATTTACAGGCCTATACTGTCAGTTTTGTACTGAAAGTTCTCTTGTTTTAGTCTTTAAGATCAACAGTCTGCTTCCCTGTATGAAAAAGGGAGAGAAATCAGAGTATTTGATATAAAGGAATTAATTCCTAATTCAAATAGTACAGTTTGAGCACTAAGGCTACAGTCTCGAAATGTAACAATTTTATTATTAAGTATCCAAGATACTTGCAACATATTGACTAGCACGATATCTGAGTACTGGAGTCTTGAGTTTAATTATTCCTTCAAACCTTTTCAAGTAGTGAAGTGTTGTTATTCTCTGTAGATAGGGAAGTGAGGCTTACAAAAAGCATAGACTGTATAGATGGAGAAAGTGTGTTGCACAGATATGCCCTGATGATGACATGGCAAATGGTCGTCTTAAGTGGTAGAATGTGTTAGTAGTCAGAAGTGGGAGTGGGTCTGGAAACAGTGAATTCTATTTCTGTACCTGCTATCATCTTGCTAGATGTGGTGGGGCAAGTCACTTAGAGCTCTCTGAATCTCAGCTTCTTCATTTATAAGATAGTGACAGTGAGTACATTTTCTTTTAAAAATGCTTCCCATTTCTTAGAGCAGAGAACCTTTATGTAAATTAAGGACCAGGTTAGCACTACTGCTCATTGAACACATCAGTCCACTCTAATGACTGTTTTGTAACTGTGATCAGTGTAATATATGCTATCTTGGAGTTCATAATCATTAATAGTTAAGTGGAGCCAAAACCAGAATAATTTTCCAAAAGCACATTTTCTCCAAACTTTGTGATACAGACAAGATGAACTCTGAATTGCCTTGACAGTGGGTGAGAAAAGGAAGAAAAGACCAGAGATTTTCTCATTGTGTAGAAGGAATTACAGTTCCCTCCTGAGCTACTGCAGTTCCAGCACTTGCTCTCCCACAGACAGCAGTTGCAGGACAGAGGGGGCCAGGACTCATCCCTCCTCCCAAGAGTTAACAGGGCAGTGTCAGTGGAAAGGCTGAAAAGGCTCTGGAAGGACTCTGGTGCAAGAAAGGCATTTGTCTGCACTTACCAGGGACTTCTGAAAGAGCAAGTGAAATTCCTGTGTGTTCTGCAACTCATGCACAGGAACTGATGTGTCTAGTAGTTTGAAGTTGTTACCTGCCTTCAAGACAAGAGGCTCCAAAGGAATATTCATTTATTTAAAATGGACATAATCTGCATGCCCTGTGTGTGTATGTTGTCTTGAGCTGAGTAATCGACTAACGTAATGACATCAAGGAAATCGTGATGGTTGAGGATTACAGCTTGCCTTTTGCACTACTGTTTCAGCAGGGTATTATTTGACTGTTCCTTATGTGATATCTGCAGTCTTATATGTTTCTTGACATGACTACTATAAGTGCACTTTTAAAAATGATTTTTGTGGCTCACTGGCCACATTCTTTGCAGCCATACACGCAACTTTATTTGCTTTCACTACTGCCTGTTCCTGTTCTTTAACTGATATTTCAGTTGGACTGAAGGCCACATTATGCTCTGGTTGAAAGTGTCAGCATATTTTATATTGACCCAATTGCCCCTACTGGAATGTATGGTAACAGCAAGACATGTCCTGAAAATCAAACTAAACCAGAATGCTTAGACCTCATAATAGTGTTTTATGGAATGAAACCCTGGGTCTGTTAGAAATTTTAAGAAAATTATGGTTGCATAACAACTGGCTTGTTTTAAAAGGAATTAAAATGTTCCACAGGAATTTACCAGGAGAATCTGTAAACTTCTCATCAGCTATCCATCCCCAACACCCTGTCCCTACTGTTAGTATCTTCCAGGGCCGATAAACTGAAACACTTTTCCTCCCCTGCCACCTTCTTTCTGGCACCCCTCCTAGGTTTGTTTAGGGTAGTGGCCCTCTCAGAACTACCACTGGAAGGATTTTTCAGGAAGTGACTTCTCTGAAAGCAATGAGTAGCAAACCATCCTTTTCTTTCACAAAGTGTTCCTCTGATCCCCTATAAACCCAGTCAGTTACTGATCAGAAGCTGCCATAAAATATTTGGTTTGCAGGATCAGAGGAAGAAGATACCTTGCAGGACAACTGCTCTGCAGAGACCACTTCAGGGGGGCATCTTACTGACCTTCCTAACAAATTGTGAACAGAGGTATCCAGGAAACACTGGGAGTGGGGACAGAAATGCTAGTCTGCCCTTTGCACACCAGTGTAGGAGCTCCTGGGCCACTGCTAGGACAACAATGAAAAATTCTAAGGGGAAGAAGGGAGTGTGCTCAATGCATACCAAAATGAAATGCACCATGTAGGGAGTAAAACATGACTGTGAGACAGACAAACCACTTTGTGCTGACTTCATGAGTTCTTCTTCCTTCCTGGAATTACACCAGGGCTATTGTTCCTGCAGTGAGCTGGAAAGACCTGAAACAAAAATAATAATTTGACAAAACAGAATCATAAATGACAAAAAAGAGATCAGACCCAGTACTTTGCTTCTTGACTCATGGATACACATTTATGTCTAAATAGAGTAGAAGTATATCCATAAGTATCAAGGGCCTTTTAAGGTGGAAATCTTTCTCTCTCACACATACACACAGTCACTCAGCTACCAATAAAGGCTAACATTCAGCTGGCCCTGCACCCAATCTCATATCCTACAAGGAAATGTTTATGGATTCCTGTAATTTATCTGTACTTAGAAGCAATGCAACTGATCATTCAAGTAGCATAATATGATGGAATCCAGCAGCACTTACAAAGACCTCCCTAAATTAAAATCTGTCTGACCTTTATATAGCCCCATATGTGGTTTAATGGATGTTATACATTCTGTGCTATTTGAGGCAGATCCAGGTTGCTAAAATCAGTGTGCCGCATGGCTAGAAATGCAAGTGTTATTGAAGCTTCTTCAGTACACTAACAGATTTATTTTCTCTGTTGCTTCTTCCAGATGTTCTTTGTAGGGAGTTTCGAAGTTTGGAGTACCTGGGATCTGCTTTTGATTTCAGAATTCTCTATAAACTTATTTTTTTGATGGCTGAAAAAAAAGTTCTCCTTCTTTCTAGTCAATAGAAAGCTTTAATAATATGTTGCTGTCTTGATGTTAAGAAAGGGTTTCTCCTGGAATTGACAGTTGTTGCTTTTGCCCAATTAATGAAAGGGGAAGCTAGAGGGTATATTTGGAGTCATAGCACCAGTAAAACAGACTAATTAATTGGGCTAGGGTTCAAAAAAAGGGGATGAGATTTAGCAGGCTTCAGGTAGTCATAGTAACATTCACTAGTTAGTTAGAAAATTGTTTTTTTAAAAACTAAGTAGTAGTGTATGGCTTCATTTACTACCCCTTTTCACTGGATCACAGGAATGGACCCAGAATTTTTTAATATTTGATGAAATATAAGGATGAAGACCCACAAAGGAATTTTCTGAATGTGTACTTTTAAGTATATATTTGCCTCCTCCTTATCCCTATTCAGTAATTTCCTATTCCTAAGGAATGTGTAATATGTGATGATGGTACGTAAAATGGTTGCAGTAGCCAAGGAGCCAGAAATGAATGCCTATTCTGATGTCATATGAAGTTGATTTTCACATGCCTATGTGAAATATGACAAAATATTATGCTAGGAATCTCAGCAGTATTCATCTGGCAGCACTAAAACAGAAATGCGCCTGTGAAGCCATACTGACATTTGTAATGATGTAAGTTGAGACTGCAGAAAGATAGTAGTAGAATATAGTAAAGGTCCTACATCAGCAACATAATTTCCTTCTTACTGCACCATTAATTTAAAGGATTGTGGAGGATACAAAGATGTTTTAATCTTCTAGGTAATGGGAAAATTCAGCTACTTAAATGGACCTGCTAGCAGACACCACGATGAATTTTAGGGGAAAAATATACTTTACAGAAATCACTTTTGTAATTGTACTTACAATTGCTGTACTTACAGCAGCTTACTTTCTTGAATTACTTGTTTATGTATGTGCAGATCCTCCAGTGGAATAAATGAAGCCTTGAGCGCTGAAAGAGAAAATGGAAAGCACGATAACATAAAAAATGAGGACTATAGGGAGAGCACTACACTGCAAATTAACACAGCCAAAGAGACACCCCACACAGAATTCTGCATCACAGAGATATACAGTGAGACTCACCAGGGAACAGAGAAAAGCAATATAAAATTTTCTGAAATGAAACAAGAGACCACACAGAGTCACAGAATTACTCCTACAGTGATAGGAACCTCCAAAGTGCTGGTGACAGATGAGACTGCTTTCAGAGGGAAGATAGAAGAAAGAAGGCCAGGCACTATGGTTGAGCTGCAGTTGTCCCTCTCACATGACGGGCACAAGGGCACCAATGCTCCTGCTGTGACTCTCTTAGGGGCAGAAAAATGCGTCCCTTCAGAAACAGAACCGAGTGTAAAACAGGATGGGACTAGCCCTGTAATTGCAATTCCCCTGGGTATAAAAGAGGGCAACATCCACTGGTCAAGCAAAGTAGTCCAGGTTTCTAGTGGCAAAGAGATCAAGACGATCCAAGGTGCAGCTCCATCTCTCCCCAGGGTGGAGGTGATCCTAGACTGTTCGGACAGGCAGAAGGAAGCATCCAGGTCTCTAGCCGAGAGGGGGTGTGTTGATTCTCAAGTGGAAGGAGGGCAGTCAGAAGCACCTCCTTCCCTCCTCTCCTTTGCAATCTCATCAGAAGGCACAGAGCAGGGAGAAGACGACCAGAACTCGGAAAGGGATCACAGCAGACCTCTCAAGCACAGAGCGAGGCACGCAAGTAAGTATGTTCCATCTAAATCATTTGCCCTGCCTGAGGGTACCTTCTGTAACTTGGAACATTATTGCAGAATGTAGACTGCATTAGAAAAAGACTTTAAAGAGTTCTTTCTGCAGTTTTCTAATTTTCCCCTCTCTCTTTTTCTTTTCAAAGATGATTTTATTTTTGCTTCATGTATTTTTTGGAGTAAAACAATGCTCCTGGTGACAGGCCAAGAGTATAACCATGCATTAACAGTGCTGAATAACTTTGCTTAGCAGACTTCCACTTTAACTCATTATTTTATCCACTGAAAATTGCTTATATCTCTTAAAAAGGCTGAATTCTGCCAGCCATTCAATGTTCATTGAGAGGTAATTTGTAGCATATTAACAAAAAACGCAAGTTACTTGCACATGTCTGAGTGGATCCTGTCTTTCTCCTTTTATAGGAAAATCTTTGTGTTTTCATTTGCATCTTCAAAATCATGCTGCTTCTCTTAATAGCTGATAATAAAAAAGGCTAGTAGAAATGGTGAATGTTGCCTGCAGGAGAGACTTTGACAGACACTAGCATGTGTATAACTGTTATATGATCCTTTCAGTTTTGTAAGTCTTCTCCAGACTGTAAAGTGAACTTACTATTTCTTCTGACTCCCTTACCCAGAGGTCAGTTTCAAAATCTGTCCAAGAAGTTTACATGAAAGTAAACTGAAAACGCAACTGAATCCAGTATTACTTGAGTGTACATATCAAGAAATTACATATTTTGTTTATTTATTATCTTATTCAATTGGCATCTTTCTATTGGTTGTTCTTTCCCAACAATGTTAAGAATCCTGTCCAGGGATTTAGTAGCAGTATGGCAAAGGTACTTGAATGTGTGCAATGATATACTGTAGCAGTAAACTATTTCATATGCAGTGTTGGAATTAGCCTGCTAACCCATTGCTAATTCCTCTGTAAGCATATTTTTAGCATGAAAAACATTTGTACCTTATTGGCAAGTGGATTAAGCAGTTACTTATGTCTAAGTGTCTGTATGTAATCCACATATTTATGGCATATTAAATGGAGCAAAGAAGAAGAGTGCAGGTGCATTACATTTTGGCTGTGAAGTTAGAACTGTGGGAACTTGTTTTACCTTTTTTCCATCTCAAATATGACAATCTCAATCCTTTCTAACTAGTGGCAAGTCATTATCCACAGGGATCATGGGTTTAAACTTTAAAACATTTGCTTTTTTATGGAAGTGTTTGTAAAATCACATCTACACATTAGAAATAAGCCAAACATAGAGGAATAGCTTGCATGCAGCATATAATACATATTTATTGTAAAATTAAACATTAAAATGCGATGCTTAGGACTAAAATAGACCAGAATATTTATTATAGGTCTTTGATCTTTTTAGCAGAAATTCACTCTGCGAATAGTAATCAAATTATACTTACCTGAGCAGGAAACATTTTTCCTGTCACGTTTACTATCTATTGATTAAATGCCTATGCAAATGAGTTTAAAAAATACACCAGCAAAGTGAAAAGTTTCAATATTTCCTTTCCACAGAAAAGCAGGGGTACTTGCTCAAAATCATTCCTAGAAAAACACTGACTGCTGATGCAAGTATCTTGTTGGAAAGCATGGGACTTGTGTGATGACGGGAGATCATTTCTGTTTGCAGAGTCACTCTAATGCTAAAGCCAGTTCTTTGGGAAAATGTCTCCAGTGATTCCTGCAACCATTTGGCCTGTCAAATAACTTGATTTTGCCCTCCTGAAATAAAATATTACGAATTGTTGGTATGGGCACCATGTTGTTTTCTATTTTATAGGTTCTTGTGAGAGCCATTGGTCCGGCCATGGTGTCATCTGCCATAATGGCAAAACTCCAATTGTCTTTAATAGGAGAAGTATCAGGCTCCATCTTCTGACATGGCTAACAGGATCATTAATAGAAAATATATCATATGGCTTTCTTTAATAAGCTTGTTTTACTTATGCCAGCAAAAGAAACTGATAGTAACCAATTTATTGGTTTACTTTCATATATCAGAAGCCATTTTTTACCTTTTGAAATTAAATGGAAGCAGAGGAACTTAATTAATTGGAAGCAGAGAACTTAAGCAGGAACAGCTTTAAATTTTAGCTTTTTTTAAACATAGAATCTAGTTGGGCTGTAATTTGTGAGTGGTGGAAACAACAGCTGATTAGCATGGCCTCCATGTCGCATAATAAGGCAGCAGTGGTGCTGATGCATAGTCTGCTTAGCAGCTTTGCAATTGCATCTACTCCCACTCCACATGACTTTTGAGAACCAATAATTTATGCTTTTAGAACACGTATTATTGATGTATTCTAGTGAACACTCTTAAGGAGTTAGCAGAGCCTTCTCTATTCGGTTCTTAAACATGTATTCATTCTTGCCACTTGTTTTAAATAAATATTCTGGAAATGTTATATCCTATTAATTTTGGAATATGTTTCAAGAAAGAGATGTCTGTTAAAGGACTGCAACCTGTTTTCATTGAGCACCATAGCCAAACTCTCACTGCCTTGCAGGGGTCTGTCTTCATGCTAATAGTTTCTCTGTACTATTTTGTGAATGCATGCTTCCTTTTGTGTAGCTAATACCTATAAGTGTACATATTTTTATCAACTATATCCATTTTATAATGCATATGAGTAAAGTAAATATATGGAAATAAATGACAGAACCCACTACCATTACCATACAGAATACACCCAGTTTCACTGCTCTCAGATGTTAAGCATTCATGGGCCTTGCTGGCTGGGAATCTCTGCCATAGGAGCTGCCGTCAAACACTTGCTAAATGCCATAGCACAGAAATGAAATAAATGAGAAAATATCATCCAGCTGTTGCTGTTGAGATGACTAATGGGAACAGAAATCCAGAAAGCTAGAAATAGTTAGACTGACACACGTAACATGCCTGTTGAACTAAGAAAGTCCTAAAGAAAGCGATGTGGCCTATAAGCTTCTATGGGTGTGATTCTAAAGGAGGAATGCTGGGTATGGAATTCATACCACAGCTGCTAGTGTGGGAAAAACTTAAGTATAGTGACCTCTACATGCACGGGAAAATAAATATCTTAATATGTGGGAAGGGCACAGTGGGTAAATTTCACTATAGACAGATGCAGAACTACTTGTTTTAATGCTCCTGGTATTTCTGTGGGCTGCATTCTATTAAACATACACTTTGATTCTTTCCACAGGACTCCGCCGAAGTGAGAGCCTGTCAGAAAAGCAGGTCAAAGAAGCCAAATCCAAATGTAAAAGTATTGCATTGCTGCTGACAGCAGCTCCGAATCCCAATTCCAAGGGGGTGTTGATGTTCAAGAAGCGTCGCCAAAGAGCAAGGAAATATACTCTGGTTAGCTACGGTACTGGGGAGCTAGAACGTTACGAAGACGAAGGTGAAGAAGGGGAAGGTGAAGAGGGGGACAAAGAAAACACTTTTGAAGTGAGTTTGCTTGCAACAAGTGAGTCAGAAATAGATGAAGATTTCTTCTCTGACATTGACAAAGAGGGCAAGATTGTGACATTTGACTGGGACAGTGGTCTACTTGAAGTTGAAAAGAAGACAAAAAGTGGAGACGAGATGCAGACGCTTCCAGAGACCACGGGTAAAGGGGCCCTCATGTTTGCCAAGAGGCGGCAGAGGATGGATCAGATTACTGCTGAGCAAGAGGAGATGAAGGCACGCACTGTGCACGCTGAGGAACGGAGGGAAGCCACCATGTCAGAAAGCTTCCAGAAAGTGAGCTGTTCAGCCTATCAGACAAAAGAGGAAGAAATGTCAAGCAGGCAGACCTCTGTGAGCAAGAGCTACCTAGATGTGAGCCAGAATCATAGCAAAATGGTACAACAGAATGGCTTTGGGTTGGCACCAGACTCAGCTTTCTCTTTTCAGAGCTCTGAAGTTCAAAAAGCTGCCTCTTTGAACAAAACAGCTAAACCCTTCCCTGCCGGGGTTCAGAACCGAGCAGCTGCACCATTTTCACCCACAAGAAATATAGCTAGTCCTCTTTCAGACATACCGGCCCCACCTCCCTACGCCTCTGTCAGCCCACCTCCTGAGGTTCTGTACAGGCCAGTATCTGCTCCCGTGGCCAACAGGGCCGCGCCACTCACATGGTCCTCCACAGAGCCAACCGAACACATAGCAACCCGAGACGAACGCATCGCAGTGCCAGCCAAAAGAACGGGGATACTGCAAGAGGCAAAGAGAAGAAGCACTACAAAACCAATGTTCACTTTCAAAGAATCACCCAAAGTAAGTCCTAATCCTGCCCTATTATCCCTTGTACACAACGCAGAAGGCAAGCGAGGTACTGGAGCTGGCTTTGAGTCAGGACCTGAGGAAGACTACCTCAGCTTGGGAGCAGAAGCTTGCAATTTCATGCAGACTCAAGCATCTAAACAAAAGACCCCTCCTCCTGTTGCTCCAAAGCCCTCAGTCAAGGTCTCTCCTACTGCCGGTACCCCGATTTCACCAGTTTGGTCACCTCCGGCTGTAGCTTCTATCAAGGCTCCTTCCTTCCCGGCTCCAGTCTCACCTCAGACAGCATATCCTGCACCACTCAAATCCCCACAGTATCCCCATTCTCCTCCAGCACATCCCCCAAGTACTCTTAACCTAGCTGGTCCTTTTAAAGGGCCTCAGGCGACCATAGCAAGTCCAAGCAACACACCTAAGGCAACATCAACCACACCAAGTGCTGGAGGAAAGAAGCAGACCTTTGAAATACCACCAGCTATGAGTGGAAAAGGAGCACAGCTATTTGCCAGAAGGCAGTCTCGAATGGAGAAGTACGTGGTAGATTCAGAGACTGTGCAAGCAAACATAGCACGAGCCCCATCCCCAACTCCATCTTTACCAGCTTCTTGGAAATACTCATCTAATGTTCGAGCACCACCGCCTGTTGCTTACAACCCCATCCTCTGCCCATCTTATCCTCCTACTGCTAACAAGCCTTCCTCTAAATCTGCTGCTGCTACCAAAAATACTAAAAGAAAACCTAAGAAGGTTCTCAATGCTTTGGATGTTATGAAGCATCAGCCTTACCAACTTGATGCATCTTTATTTACTTTTCAACCTCCATCTAGTACTAAGGAAGGCCTAGGGATTAAGCAGGCATCAAAGTTGTCTGCTTCAAAACAAGGTCTACCGTTAAGACCACTCAGTGCTGGCTCTCCTACTAATGCCCGGGCATCTTCAGTGTACTCCGTACCAGCCTACGGTTCACAGCCTTCGTTCCAGTCGAATGCCTCTACCCCAGTAAATGAATCATTTTCACCTACAGGTTACTCTGCATTTTCTAAGCCAGAAACCATCACGTCCTCTTTGTTTACTGCTCCGAGGCCAAAATTTTCTGCAAAGAAAGTTGGCGTCCCCGCACAGGTGTGGAAGCCATCGATTATTGAAGAGTAAACCTTGCAGCTGCAACTCAGTGTCCACTTTGCTTGCAATTAATTTTTTGCAGTGGCAACCTGGCACACCAAGAGTGCCAATAGTAGTCCTTCGCTTACTTAATAACTTCAGATTATCACCTAAAATCTGGGTCCAAAATACTTAAACTTTTTAAAGGAATCAAAATAGATATAAATTTTAGCACATTTATGCATATTATCACATGCTTTATACATATAACATCCTGAAATGGATAGGTATCATTTTATTAAGTAAGCAGGACACTTGGCTTTTTTTTTGCTTTAAGACTACAGCAAAAATGACAGTAAGCAGTATTCTTGGTATGTCAAACTATTAGAAAAGAGTTTTCTTTCTTCTTCACACCCCAAATTATATTCTAATGACGTAGAGATCTGAGGACAATTTATTTTTTAAAAAATGCCTTATTAAATAATACTGATAGTAATATGTTTATTTACATAGCATTAAGTAGATATAATATCAGACTCTGACTGATTACTTGTGGGATATAGGTGGACAGACCTTTGGGTCTGCACAGAATCCCAGTGAATTCAGTGAGAGTCTGTCCTGGCACAGAGGTCATTCCACAGGAATCTGATTGATCAGTCAGGAGATTAGTTTGTAAGTTATGTGGATCAGCTCTGATCCAAAATCATAAATTGCCTCTGTGATTTCACAGAGAACGTGCTATAAGAGATGCTAGAGTGTTTTAGAGAAGAGTAACTTAAAGTTGCTGAAAAAGACACCTGGAAGAGTTGTTAAAGATTTCCCATTTTGGGGAAATTTTTAACTAAATTTGACATCCCAAGTGCATATTTTTAGCCTTGACTTGCCTCAACTCTGATAAGTAAATTATAGAAGCCAGTAAACCAAAATTATTGGACAGTCAGAAGGGTGAGCTGAGTTTTGCAGCTGCAATGAAATGCAATACTTTCTCACGAAAGCACAGTGATTAAAAACAGAAGGAATACATGCATTTGAGAGCAGGGATCTTTGCAACAGAGTAGTAGTTCCTCCAGACATCAGCATATAACACTGTATCAGAATTATGATCTTGTTTTCCTGTTGGTCTCTCATACACGTTTTCTTATTTTCACTTCGGGCTTTACAGTGCTTCTTCCACTTTTAATCATTTTACTCTGGTCTTATACTTTCACCTTTTGTATGATATTATATTATTTAACCCGATATAATTGTGGTATTGGGGATTAAGGATTGAAATACTGCTACTGTAGAAAATTCTTATGAGTATGTGATCTTGAAATCCTATTGAATAATACTGCAATACACAGTTTTGCTGAAATCAAGGGGCAATATTTGAATAGCTCAGTATGTTATTCCGTAAGCCGTCCTGTTAACATCACTGGTGCTAGTTCCGAAACAAAGTGTTGTTTCACACAACTAAGAGTATCAGAATCCACCCCAGGTGCTATGCTAAAAGATTAAAGCATCACTGTGAATAAAGGTGAGGGAATCTGCTGATATATTTTTTAAAATACTAGACAACTAGCTATGGACCAGATTATAGATCTTTTATATCATACTGGCGCATATGACTTTAATAGATCTTCAGGAATAAAGTATTCCCCAGTATGAGCAAAATCTCTGTAGTTTAGTCCTGTGACGGTAACTCATAACTTCAATCAAATCTGAAAATAATAAATTTGGTTGTACATGTGAAAAACAGATTGGAATCAAAGCTAAAGTAAGCCACTATAAAGCTTAATTAAGCCACTGTTTTGAATTTTGGACCTCCAGAATCCCATTTTCCCCTTTGACTTTTGAACTGGGATCCTGACTGCACTAGAAGAAAATGACCAAGTGATCCATCTTATTCTCAAATGAAGGAGAATGGTGGTAATTTTTAGGAAAAAAAAAAAAAAAAAAAGGCCTGGAAAGCTCAAGAATTACACTGCCTATGCCTAGAAATAGGAAAGAGCAATATTTTAATCCTCTGGAGATCTCCCTTCCATTTGTTTTCCACTGTTAATATGCTGTATTTTTCTTCTACCATTAAACTAGTTCCTTTCTTCTCTGTCTTTTTTTTTTGATTGTTCTCTTTCATTTACATATACAGACTTACAGTCTGTAAATTTTATGGGAACTCAATTTTCTATTCAGTCCTATTACTATGAAAACTCCTTCCTTCTTTTCCTCCTTGCTCTCCATTAAAAGTCTTACCTTAAATTGCTTAAACTATTTTAGGTACAAATTTAAAATGCTAGTATCTTCTTAGAATAAGTTAAACCAAAGATAAAGGCAGTGCTGCTAGGTAGATACAGATAGATACAATCACTTTCAGATAGCCTCATATTGCCTTAACTGTTTTTATTTACAGTCTTCTCCTGTAAAGTACATTTGTAAATTATAATCACGTCTAGACTTGTTTGCACCTTCCTGCCCACAAATAATTCTTTCCTATTGAGTCTTTTTTTGGTAGTTTTGTACTTTTACCACAAATGTTGATGTTAACATATGTGACTGTTAGTGAAATACAGTAATTTACACTGTATAGCCATCAGCTCAGTCAGGCTCAGGTCAGTAACTTTTGCAGGTCCTTACTAGCTGCTCAGTGCCTAGTGTGAAATATGCACATTAATGCAGTTTAGCTCCTAGCATATACAAGCCTACATTGCTTTTGCCAAGTAAGATAATGGGCATTATTATTGTAAATGTCAGCAGAGGGAACAAGGGGTGAAGCTGGGCTTTATTCTCATTCCAGAGGAAATCACCTTTCCAGAAAACCAAAATTCAACAAGGTAGGAACTAGAGGAGAGCTGTGGATTGAAACTGAACATTCCAGTTTCCTGCATCACTTACCTAGACTAAATATACTTCAAAGATAGGAATGCCTAACTCTCAGTTTAAAGGTCACTGAAGATCCTATTTCTTTAATTTGCAGCAAAAACCAATAGTTTATTTAGTTAACCTTATCATAAGTACATCTACAGCTACAAGAAAGAAAAAAAAAAGAAATTAACCCAAGCTGAATATTTATATTTTGCTCATATTTGGATTTCTTGCTGTTGTTCAAATACTGGTATTTAGTGTGGCCTACAGCAATGACAGCAGTGTGTTCCAAAAGCCCTACATGTGCTTTACAGGTACCACTAGTGCTCCTAACTCAGGTAGGATGCTTTGAAAACTCCATTCAAAGTCCAAGTCCTAATCCAATTTTGTATACATACGTCCTTCTACCTGCATAGTATTTGGATCTGACTTGGCTTCAAGACTTGTGTTACTAATAAGGTAAGTCAGTAATTTTTATTAATATTGCAGAAGAAAACTAGCCTAATTAACAGTTTTATGCAAAGGGCAATCTTTTGTGAAGCAGGTATTTAGAGAAAAGTTGAACTGTGCATTTTCATGGGTCCAAATGAAAAGCTGCAGGTGATGTGAAGCACAGAAGAAATGTCAAGAAAATGAACTCTTTATATTAAGAGGAGCCTTTGGAATTTTATTTTGAATGGGAAAGGATTTTTTCTAAATAGTTTTCTCAAAAAAAACTATTAAAATTACTTTAATATGAAGATACCATGGAGAAACACTGGTTTTGCTTACTATGTGAGCATATTTAACAATGAATTTTTCTCCATTTCTAATAACACTACTTCAGTTATGCTTATATTAAAAAGCTTTGTAAATGCCTTATGTTATTTTTAACACATTTAGTTATAGTATAGTGTAGGTATTATATTGCACCAATTTGAATCTCACACTCTAGAAAGCCTTACCATGAAAACAGCAACCTTGATAAAGGGTTGCATATTTTCATTTTCTCATTCAGTTATAAACCTCCCGTTAACCTCTCATTCTCATTGAATTGAAATCTTTTGTTTTGAAGATCAGTAGCTTTTAAAAAGTTAAAAGTTCTGTTGCAAAAATAAGAGTCAAGATTTAGTTCTTGAACAACTTCTCTCTCCTTCTCCAGGGGAACTAGATTCTTACCATGTTCCTGGTCATCAAAAGATAACATACTATGAAACAAACAGATATTTCAATGATTTTTTTTTCTGCAGCAACATTTATAGAGTAAACATTACTATCTCCTACAAATAAGACTCATTCTCGTGCTTTCTGCACACCAAGAATCATTTTGTCTGTGTCCTAAGACACCTGGCAATACCCAGCTACAGTAAGCTGCTGCCTTCCAAAAGCACCAGGGCAGTGACGGGGACTCTATCATACACATACTCAAATCAAGAGTTCTTACTCTGATACAGTCACAGTCTCCTTACCATAAAGAATATCTGTTTCATTTTTAGGCACACAGAAAAGTCATTTTGTTTGAGGTCAAGTCAATGTAATTTTGAGATAAAGCAAAAAAAAGAAAGTTCTCTCTTGTTCGAAGTCTTCATGCACTGACACAAAGTATACCTATCTTTATTTTAACTAGCGCATTCAGGAATCAAGAATGCAAGATCAGAGCTAAAACTGCTGTGTTCTCTTTTGGTGTCACCACAGCAATCATGCAGCAATAAGTTTATTTTCCTTTTGGCAGTGCTGTTGTTATTCACTCTAGAATGAATGTTCAGAATTCATTCATAGGAGGATTTGAAACAAGGAGGTACTGATATGTTGCAGTGTCAGCAGCCTCCAGCAACTAAGATTGAGGGGCTGATATGTGGCTCAGATAGAAGAGTTAAGTGTTAAGTGGCAGAGCAGCAGTTTTGAAAGAGAGAGCTCCAATTAGCCAAGCAGTGGGGAGAAAGCTTCAGAACAAAAGCAGAGACGACACAGGATAAAATCCCCATCAGAGGATCATGACACCCTGCAAGTACAAGAAGAGAAAACAATCAACAAGACGCGCTTTATTGTTCTGCATATAGCTGACCGATTTCGAGCCTTTTGTTGAATTTTGCTACATTCTCCTGGAATAACTGAGTACTCACATCATGGAGCATGATTATTCTCCTCTACTGTTTAGAAGAAGGTATTGTGAAGGAACTGAAATACTCATAACCAGTAAA